CTTATTCCCATACTGCAGAAATTATTCCAAAATATTGAGGAGGAAGGAATCTTCCCCAACATGTTCTACGAAGCAAACATCACCTTGATGCCAAAACCAGGAAAAGACTCAACTAAAAAGGAGAATTTCAGACCAATTTCACTAATGAATATAGATGCAAAAATTTCTCAACAAAATCCTAGCCAATAGATTACAGCTTATCATTTAAAGAGTCATACATCACGATCAAGTAGGTTTCATCCTAGGGATGCAAGGCTGATTTAACATACGCAAGGACATAAATGTTATTAACAGAACATACGGGCATAACCGTATTAACAGAAGCAGAAACAAAGACCATATGATCTTCTCAATAGATGCGGAAATGGTATGCGATAAAATTCAGCATCCTTTTCTAATTAAAACACTAAAGAGTGTAGGCATAGGTGGCACATTTCTTAAACTGATCAAAGCTATCTGTGACAAACCCACAGCTAATATTTTACTGAATAAAGTAAAACTGAAAGCTTTTCCTCTTAGAACGGGAACTAGACAAGGTTGTCCTCTGCCGCCATTACTATTCAACATAGTGATGAAAGTTCTAGCCAATATAATTAGGCAAGACAAGGAAATAAAGGGCATCCAAATGGGAGTAGAGGAGGTCAAACTATCCCTCTTTGCTGATGATATGATCTTACACTTAGAGAACCCCAAAGACTCAACCACAAGACTCCTGGAAAGTCATCAAAAAATACAGTAATGTCTCAGGATATAAAATCAATGTCCACAAGTCAGTACCCTTTGTATACGCCAGTAACAGTCAAGATGAGAGGCTAACTAAGGACACAATTCCCTTCACTGTAGCTTCAAATAAAATAAAATAACTAGGAATATACCTAACAAAGGATGTGAAGGACCTCCATAAAGAAAATTATGAAATTCTAAGAAAGGAAATAGCAGAGGATATTAACAAATGGAATAACACCATACTCATGGCTGGGAAGAATCAACATTGTTAAAATGTCTATACTTCTCAAAGCAATCTACCGATTCAATGCCATCCCTATTAAGATACCAACATTGTACTCCCAAGATTTGAAAAAAATGATTCTGCATTTTGTATGGAACCAGAAAAAAACCCATGTAGCTAAGGCAGTTCTTAGTTATAAAAACAAAGGTGAGGGCATCACCATATCAGATTTTAGGCTGTATTACAAGGCCATAGTAGTCAAGACAGCATGGTACTGGCACAAAAATAGAGACATAGGGTGGTGCCTGTAGCTCAAAGGAGTCCCTGCCGACCCCATATGCTGGAGGTGGCAGGTTCAAATCCAGCCCCAGGCAAAAACTGCAAAAAAAAAAAAAAAAATAGAGACATAGACATTTGGAATGGAATAGAAAACCAGGAAATGAAACTAACATCTTACAACAACCTAATCTTCAATAAACCAAACAAGAACATACCTTGGGGGAAAGACTTCCTTTTCAATGAATGGTGCTGGGAGAACTGGATATCCACATGTAAAAGACTGAAACTGGATCCTCACCTTTTCCCACTCCCAAATTTGATTCAAGATGGATAAAAATACTTAAATTTAAGGCAGGAAACAATAAAAATCCTCAAAGAAAGCACAGGAAAAACACTGGAAGATACAGGCCTGGGGAAAGACTTTATGAGGAAGACTACCGTGGCAATTGCAACAGCAACAAAAATAAACAAATGGGACTTAAACTGAAAAGCTTCTATACAGCTAAGGAGACAGCAACCAAAGCAAACAGACAACCTACACAATGGGAAAGAATATTTGCATATTTTGAATCAGACAAAAGCTTGATATGTAGGATCTATAGAGAACTCAAATTAATCCACATGAAAAAAGCCAACAATTCCATATATCAATGGGCAAGAGACATGAATAGAACCTTCTCTAAAGAAAACAAATAGCTAAGAAACATATGAAAAAATGCTCATCATCCCTAATTATTAGAGAAATGCAAATCAAAACCACCCTGAGATCCCATCTAACCCCAGCAAGAATGGCCTACATCACAAAAATCTCAAAACCGCAGATGCTGGCATGGATGTGGAGAGAAGGGAACACTTTTACACTGCTGGTGGGACTGCAAACTAATGCAATCTTTTTGGAAGGAAGTATGGAGAAACCTTAAAGAACTCATATTAGACCTCTCATTTGATCCTGCAATCCCATTCCTGGGCATCTACTCAGAAGAAAAAAAAATCCTTTTATCATAAGGACACTTGCACTAGACTATTTATTGTAGCTCAATTTACAATCACCAAAATGTGGAAACAGCCTAAATGCCCACCAACCCAGGAATGGATTAACAAGCTGTGGTATATGTACGCTATGGAATACTATTCAGCCATTTAAAAAGGAGACTTTACAGCCCTTGTATTAACCTGGATGGAAGTGGAACAC